CAAAAGAAACTCAACACAGTGAAGCAACCATCAACAGAATGGCAAAAAATAGTTGGAAACCTTACCAAGAGGTTTATATCCCAAATACATAAAAAACTCAAAAAACCCAATAGCAGGGAAACAAATACCTTGCTTTAAAAATGAGCAAAGGTTGTAAATGGGTATTTATCCAATGAAGACATACAAATACCCAAAAGGGATACGGCAGAATGCTCAAAATCACTAATCACAAGGGAAATGCAACTCAAAATCACAAGATATCATCTCACCACAGTTAGAATGGCTACTATCAAAAAGACAAAAAATAAAAGTGCAGGCAAGGATGTGGTGAAAAGGGAACACTTACACACTCTTGGTGGGAGTCTAAATTAGTACAGCCATTATGGAAAACAGCATGGAGGTTTCTCAAGCAATTAAAAATATAATTAATATACTAGCCAACAATTCCACTGCTGGGTATATATTCAAAAGGATAATAAAATCAGTATGTCAAAGAGATATCTGCATCCCATGTGATATGGTTTGGCTCTGTGTCTCCACCCACATTCTCCTGTTGAATTGTAATTGCCAGTGTTGGAGGAGGATCCTTATGGGAGGTGATTGAATCATGGGGGCAAACTTTCCCTGGTTATTCTTGTGATATAGTTCTCATGCGATTTGGTTGTTTGAAAGTGCATAGCTATACAGACACAGTGGCTCACACCTGTAATCTCAGCACTCTAGGAGGCCGCGGCAGGCAGACCACTTGAGGTCAGGTGTTTGATACCAGCCTGGGCAATATGGCAAAACCCCGGGTCTGCTAAGAATACAAAAAAGTTAGCCAGGCATGGTGAGGGGTGCACGCCTGTAATCCCAGCTACTTGGGAAGCTGGGACAGGGTAATCGCTTGAAGAAAAAAAGAAAATAACACTTTGCTTTTCACTCTCTCTCTCCCCTGCTTTGGCCATGTGAAGACTGTGCCTGCTTCCCCTTTGCCTTCCACCATGATTTTTAAGTTTCCTGGCGCCTCCCCAGGATCAGAAGCCTGGACAGCCCACAGAACCAAGAGCTGCTTAAACCTCTTTTCTTTATAAATTACCCAGTCTCAGGTATGTCTTTATAGCAGTGTGAGAACAGACTAATTCACCATGTTAATTGCAGCATTAGTCACAATAGCCAAGTTACAAAATCATCTAAATGTCTATAAAGAAATTAATGGTTGGCCGGGCGCGGTGGCTCAAGCCTGTAATCCCAGTACTTTGGGAGGCCGAGGCGGGTGGATCACGAGGTCAAGAGATCGAGACCATCCTGGTCAGCATGGTGAAACCCCGTCTCTACTAAAAATACAAAAAATTAGCTGGGCATGGTGGTGTGTGCATGTAATCCCAGCTACTCAGGAGGCTGAGGCAGGAGAATTGCCTGAACCCAGGAGGCGGAGGTTGCTGTGAGCCGAGATCGCGCCATTGCACTCCAGCCTGGATAACAAGAGCGAAACCCCGTCTCAAAAAAAAAAAAAAGAAAGAAATTAATGGATAAATAAAAATGTTATTTAGACAGAATCTAGTGCTGTCATTTGCAGCCACTTGGATGGAACTAGAAATTAGTAGGTTATGTGAAATAAGCCAGGCACAGAAAGACAAAGGTCACGTCTCACTCATATGTGGGAGCTAAATAAGTGGATCTTATGGAGATAGCATGTAGAATGATGGTTACTACAGGCTGGAAAAAGTTGGGGCAGTGGTGAAGAAATTTTGATTAATTAGTACAAGAATATGTTTAGATAGAAGGAATAAGTTCTACTGTTAGCACAGTAATTAGTGTTAACAATAATTTATTGTATATTTCAAAATAGCTAAGAGACTGTCTAAAATGTTCTCAACACAAAGAAATGATAAGCATTTAATGTGATGGATATCCTAAATTCCCTGATTAGCTCATTTTTTGCTTCAATAAATGGGATCTTGTTCTGCCACCCAGTGGCGATCATGGCTCACTACAGCCTTGAACTCTGCTCTAGGGATCCTTCCACCTCAGCCTCCGGAAGTGCTCAGGTTACAGGCATAAACTACCTTGCTCAGCCAAAAGGGGCCAAGAGGTGGGATCACTGAAAGGTGTTATGTGAGAAATTTTGTGCTGCTACCAAATCCAAATGTTGACGTGCCCCAAATCTCCAGTACCTTAGAATGTGACTGTGTTTTGGGATAGAACCTTCGAAGGGTGATTACATTAAAATGAGGGTGTTAGAGCGGGAGCCAATCAATCTGACTGATGTTCTTATAGAAAGGGAAAATATGTAGAGAGAAACACCAGAGTGTCGTGCACATAAAGACTGTGAGGACACTTTGTAACGGTGACCATCTGCAAGCCAAGGAGAAAACAGCAAGCCTGCCTTCACTTCAGTCTTGAACTTCCAGTCTCCACAACACTAAGAAAATTAATTTCTGCTGTTTACGCTACACAGTCAATGACATTTTGTTATGGCAGCCCGAGCAGATTAATACACAAGGTAAGAATCTGCCTTTTCTTTTTTTTTTTTTTTTTTTTTTGAGACAAGAGTCTGGCTCTGTCGCCCAGGCTGTAATGCAGTGGTGCAATCTCAGCTTACTGCAACCTCTGCCTCCCAGATTCAAGCAATTGTCCTGCCTCCGCCTCCCTAGTAGCTGGGATTATAGGCACCCATCACCACACCTGGCTAATTTTTTTATTTCTAGTAGAGATGGGTTTTGCCATGTCACCCAGGCTGGTCTTAAACTCCTGACCTCAAGTGATCCACCTGCCTCAGCCTCCTGAAGTCCTGGGATTACAGGTGTGAGTCACTGTGCCCAGCAGAATCTCCCTTTTTGATGCTGACACCTCTACGAGTTTCTCATAATCTCTCCTTCTCATGAGTTCCAGGTTAGGGAACATTACAAGCCTGTAATCCCAGCACTTTGGGAGGCCGAGGCGGGCAGATCACATGAGGTCGGGAGTTTGAAACCAGCCTGACCAACATGGTGAAACCCGTCTCTACTAAAAATAACAAAAATTAACTGGGCGTGATGGTGGGGACCTGTAATCCTAGCGACTTGGGAGGCTGAGGCAGGAGAATCGCTTGAACCCAGGAGGCGGAGGTTGCGGTGAGCCGAGATTGCGCCATTGCACTCCAGCCTGGGCAACAAGAGGGTAACTCTGTCTCAAAATAAGTAAATAAATAAATTAGCTGGGTGTGGTGGCGGGTGCCTGTAATCTCAGCTACTCAGGAGGCTGAGGCAGGAGAATTGCTTGAACCCGGGAGGTGGAGGTTGCCGTGAGATGAGATTGTGCCACTGCACTCCAGCCCAGGCAACAGTGTGAGACTACATCTCAAAAAAAATGTTTTTAAGTACACGCATTAATCATGGTGTAAAGGAAACGGCATCATATGCGAACTGGATTTATTCATTACAATAGTGGCTCAATATTATTTTGGTAGCAGAAAGACTCATTTTTCGACGTGATAGGAAGAATAATACAGTGCAGAATTTAAAGTTTGTGGCTACTATGAGTAATGAATAATTACTTATATGTAGTGTGTAACTTGTCTCGGTAATAACATGTATGAGTTTCAGTTGGGTAAATTCATAGAAATATAATTATTGCAACATAAATTGACATCTGGTAACCTTACACAGACACTACCAAACAGTTTTCCAAAATGTTTATAACCATTTCAACACCCACAAGCAGTCCACGCGTTTTTTTGTAAAACTTGATTATTTCCTGTCATTTTCATTTGAGCTTTCTGGGTGATGTATTGCATTACCGGGTAGTGGTTTGATCTAAATTTTCCTGATTACAAATGACATTGGTTACTTTTCACATATTCATTATCCATGGAATAACTTATTCTCCTTTCTTAAAATCTTTCAGGCCGGGCACGGCGGCCCACGCCTGTAATCCTAGCACTTTGGGAGGCTGATGTGGGTGGATCACCTGAGGTCAGGAGTTCAAGGCCAGCCTGAACATCATGGTGAAACCCCATCTTTAAAAAAAAGAAAGAAAATCTTTTGAAAAAAATTAGCGACTTGGGAGGCTGAGGCAGGAAGGATAGAAGAGGAGACCTTCACGTGAAGGTCTGTCATTGTGGCTCAGGCCAGCCCTGGAAAGCATTTCATCACCACATGGATCATGCAGAGTAACTTCTTTCTTGAATTTGCATCTGGAATATTTGCCCATTCCTAATATGTGTTGTTTATTCGTTTTTCAAGGAATATAAGTCTTCCTCTCTCTTTCTCTCCCTCTCTGTTTGTATGTGTGTGTGTGTGTTCTGTTTCTGTTTCTATTTCTCTTACCCTGTGTGTGTCTGTGTGTGTGTGTGTGTGTGTATTCTGTCTTTGTCTGTTTTTCTCTCTCTGTGTCTTTAAGTGAGAACAGTTCTTAATTTTTATATAATCTATTATTTCATTCATATGGTTAATGTGTTTTCTGTTTTGTAAGTATTTCCTTATCCAGAGATGACAGAAATATCATTTTCCCCCTAAAACTTTTATTACTTGTCCCTAATCTCGAGATGAGCAGCTTATTCAGAATTGATTTGTTACATGATGTGCATAATGATTAAGGTTTCTCTTTCTTTCAATATGAGCAGGATAAATTTCAGGTTAGAGTGAAAATATTGGACTCTGCTTTCTTTGCATTTGCTCTCACTTGTCACTGCTGCCCTAGGCTAACACTCCCTATGTTAGCGCTGACTTCCCGTGAAATATACTGGTAATTTCTTACAACTCCTCCTGCCTCATAAAATTTCTAGCAATCTCACAAGAGCACACCACCAAAGTCATCCTTGGTGTCAAAACTCTACAATGAGGCTTTCTGCTCAGAGGAATGATTGTTGCTATAATTTAAAGGAAAATGTGCTGGCTGGGCGCGGTAGCTCACGCCTGTAATCCAAGCACTTTGGAGGCCAAGGTGGGTGGATCACCTGAGGTCGGGAGTTCAAGACCAGCCTGACCAACATGGTGAAACCCTGTCTTTAAAAAAAAAAAAAAAAGAAAAAGAAAACGTGCTGAATGAGAAAATAGCCTCCAGGAATGTGGCAATAGGAGTGATGTTGTTACCACAGACTACAGCTGGAATCCTGAGCAATTTCTCTTCTTTATTACTATCTTTTCTTTTACCACACTGTATGCAGGTCGACGTCTGCAGATTTGATTCTCCAGCACCTGATTATAGCCAACTCCTTGGTCCTCTCTAAAGGACAACCCCCAGACAATAGTAGCCTTAGGGTTGAAACATTTCCTCAATGATTTTGGATGCAAACTTCTTTTGTATATTCAGAAAGGGGGTAGGGGAATGTCCATTGGCACCACCTGCCTTTTGAGTGTCTTTTATACCGTCATGATCAGCCCTATGAACTCCAGGTGGAAGGATGTCAAAGTAAAAGCCCCAAAGTAAATTGACTTCTTCATTTCCCTTTTCTTATGCGTGGGTTGTATGTGTCAGGTAAATGGGGCAGCAAAAACATCACAAGAACAGAGATTTTGGATACTTCTCTGTTGTACACAATGAGAAAAATCACTGGCTCTGTCTATACAGCATTTATTGTGTTCCCTGAAGTTATATTTTCTGTGCTCATAATCTGGGCCAGTGGCTCTATGATTTTCATCCTGTATAGGCATAAGCAGCGGCTCCAACATATTCACGGGACTCATGTTTCCTCCAGATGCTGCCCTAAGTCCAGAGCCACCAAAAGCGTCCTTGTTCTGGTGAGCACCTTTGTATCCTTTTATACCCTTTCCTCCATCTTTAAAATTTTTTGTTGCTCTTTTTCATAATCTCAGTTGGTGGTTGATGAATATCTCTGACCTAATTTCTGTGTGTTTTCCAACTGTCAGCTCCTTCCTGCTCATGAGCCGTGACTTCACTGTATCCAGGCCTTGCTTTGTCTGGATAAAGAATAAAAAATCCCCTAATCTGCTGGGCGCGGTAGCTCACGCCTGTAATCCCAGTACTTTGGGAGGCCAAGGCAAGCAGACCACAAGGTCAGGAGTTCCAGACCAGCCTGGCTAACATGGTGAAACCCCACCTGTACTAAAAATACAAAAAGTAGTTGGGCATGGTGACGGACACCTATAATCCCAGCTACTCAGGAGGCTGAGGCAGAGAATTGCTTGAACCCAGAAGGTGGATGTTGCAGTGAGCAGAGATCATGCCACTGCACTCCAGTGTGGGTGACAGAGTGAGACTCTATCTCAAAAAAAAAAAAAAAAAAATTCCTAATCTTCTAAGAAAGATGTAAATTGTGAGTTTTTTTCATAATGGTTAGTTGTTTATGCATACATCAGAGTCAAAAAGTCTATACAAACCTTAGGGAAAAGTCTATAGAAAACATTAAGGAAAAGCCACATCTTTCTAAGATAGACTGTAATGAATATTGGGTTTCTTAGGCTGGTACCTATGTGGGCAGAGGGAGGTATATTTAGCAGAATTGTCTAATTCTGGTGCATGCTATCTCATTGACAGTAGTCTTAGTCAAACTTTGCTTGAAGAAAATTTATTGTATCTGGTTTTACCTCCAGCATCTGATGAATCAGAATGATTTGCTTATGAAAAATTTGCCAAAGGTGAATACAGTTAGTGGTGGGTATTGGTGGAAAAGAGTGTTCTGTGTGTTATCTGTATGTGTACATGTCTTATTGGCAAGGACATGTGCAGGTTTTGGTCAGGACTGTCCTTTTGTGAATGTTTATGCAAATCACAAACTTTGAATGATAGAAATAGTGTCACCTTTTGTGGCAGATGACAAAATTATTTACTGTATAGGGAAATAAGAGACTTGAGCCAATACATAAGAATAATTTTGGAGATCCAGGCCGGGCGCGGTGGCTCAAGCCTGTAATCCCAGCACTTTGGGAGGCCGAGGCGGGTGGATCACGAGGTCAAGAGATCGAGACCATCCTGGTCAACATGGTGAAACCCCGTCTCTACTAAAAATACAAAAAAAATTGGCTGGACATGGTGGCGCGTGCCTGTAATCCCAGCTACCCAGGAGGCTGAGGCAGGAGAATTGCCTGAACCCAGGAGGCGGAGGTTGCGGTGAGCCGAGATCGCACCATTGCACTCCAGCCTGGGTAACAAGAGCGAAACTCTGTCTCAAAAAAAAAAAAAAAACAAAAAAGAATAATTTTGGAGATCCAAGGAGAAAATTAATCCTGTGAAGCCTCGTGATCGCTAAACTGCCTCAAGAAAAGTCCTGAGGGAGGCCGGGCCCAGTGGCTCACGCCTGTAATCCCAACACTTTGGGAGGCCGAGGCGAGAGGATCACGAGGTCGAGAGATCAAGACCATCCTGGCCAACATGGTGAAACCCTGTCTCTACTAAAAATACAAAAATTACCTGGGTTTGGTGGCGTGTGCCTTGAGTCCCAGCTATTCAAGAGGCTGAAGCGGGAGAATTGCTTGAACCTGGGAGGCGGAGGTTGCAGTGAGCCGAGATCGTACCACTGCGCTCCAGCCTGGCGCTTGGCGACAGAGCAAGGCTCTATCTCAAAGAAAAAAGTGAGAGAAAGTGAGTTAGAAAATGCTTAAAAGTTAAATGAGGCCGGGTGCGATGGCTCAGGCCAATAATCTCAGCACTTTGGGAGGCCGAGGCGGGAGGATCACGAGGTCGAGAGATCAAGACCATGCTGGTCAACATGGTGAAACCTCGTCTCTACTGAAAATACAAAAATTAGCTGGGCATGGTGGCACAAGCTTGTAGTCCCAGCTACTCGGGAGGCTGAGGCAGGAGAATTGCCTGAACCCGGGAGGCCGAGGTTGTGGTGAGCCGAGATCGCGCCATTGCACTCCAGCCTGGGTAACAAAAGCGAAACTCCATCTCTTTTTTTTTTTTTTTTTTTTTT